GTGGCCGCACCGCCTCACGCCCTGCCCTCGTCCCCCGAGGGGCTCCGCCTCTCTTCCCGCCTGCCCCCTGTGTGGAGGGCAGTCCCCGGGGGGCCAGAGCGTGGCCGCCCCCGGCCCTGCGCCGTCTCTGCCGCCCCAGCTGACGGCTCAGTCTCCCGGGCGGGTCCACCTGTCTCGGTCTGGACGCCCCGGCCAGAACTGTTTCCTTGCCTTTCCACCCTGCCACTCTGGAACCCGCAAAAGCAGCTGCGCGGGCCGTGATCTGCGGCATGGGCCGGGAGCTGTGGGCCAGGCCTCCGCTGGGTGCCAGCGACAGTCGGGGCACAGCCGGCTTCGCTGTGCGTGCTGGGTCCCCAAGCCCACCCACCTCCTGGTCCGCGGGTGCGCTGGGAGGATTCGCGGCTGAGATTTGTCAGAACAGAAGGGCACGAAGCACCATCGGCAAAGGGAACAGGTGCCTGGGGTGGTCCGGGGGAGACCAGGCTCAAGCTTCCGGAGTCCCCTCCCTGCGGAGTCACATGCTTAATTCCCCCGACAGCGAGTCGTGACAACCGAGGTGAAGTGTCATCTCCCAGGGGAGCCCGTTAGAGACTGAACACTCAGGGCTTTCAGTGGGGCCTGGTCACACAGCAGCCTGTGCCTGGCACGTGCCAGAGTCCCAGACGGCCGCTAGGAAAGCCGGTGTCCGGCATAGACCACACTGTTTGTACCAGCAGCCCGGGCACCTGTCACCAGGTGCTGCTGTCACCAGGAAATGGGGAGAACCCTCCCGAAATCCAAGTTTCCAGACACCAGCACAGGGCCAGGCGTGCGAGCAGCCTTCCCCAGGGCCGGGCGGTAACCGGCGCAGGCTCGAGGCCTCAGTGGGCCCTCAAAGGGCGCCTGCGGCAGCCGCTGGCTCTGCTGTTGGAGCAAAAGCAGCCGCGGACAACAGTGTCAGCGGGAGGGCGTGGTTGTGCCGCAGTGGATGCGGAAATGGGAATTTCATATAATGTTCATGTTTCTTGGCATGTTCTTTGCATTTTTTCTCACCATTTGAAATTGTAAAATATATTCTTAGCTCGAGGACTGTACTGAAACAGGCGGTGGGCTGCCTGGCTTTGGCCCTCGGGCCAGAGTTTGCCGACTGGGGTACAGACGATCTTTGCGAGAATACCCCAGACCCCGCAGAATGGCTGCCTCGGGGGAGGAGTACGGGAGAGGAGGGACAGGGGCTGGGAAGGGACTTGTATTTTATGTCCTTTTGTGATTTTTTTTTTTAAACCATGTGTTCATTATCTTTAAAAAATTATTATAAAGTGAAGGAGATCGTGGTAAAGTTCCGCGGAACCAGACCACTATGGTTTGTTTTAGGAAATACTAGCTGTTCACTTTTCTCGATGTGGAGATTAACTTTTGGATGAGGAGCCTTTAAAAAAATAAACGAAGAGTCAAGACAGTATCTCCAGAAAAAGTCAAAACTTAAACAATCCATTCATGCATATTCTAAGCCCCTGGATGTTGGGTAGAGCAGATGTGTGGCTCTCGGTGTTGAGGTAGGAAGGTGGTAATAAAGAGGTAGAGTGCAGTCTCCCATTAAGACTCTCTTTTGGTTATAAGTGAAGTAAGATGTGCTCCAAACTGCCTTAGGCAAAAAGGGAATTTATGGGCCTGTGTTGCTGAAAGGGCAGGTTTCAGGTATGGCTTGATCCAGGTGCAGGCCGGGTTGTCCAGATTGTGGGCTCCAAGAGTGGGGGTGCTCTCAAGAGCACATGTGGTCCTGGTACCAAAGGATCAGAGAATGTTCTGGATGCCGCTCCAGGGGCCCTCCTGGGCCTGAGCATTTCCCTACCTGGACTCTTTGCCTTGAGGCCTGGCTGAAGTCAGGGGAGGAAGGGCCAGCCACGCTGCCCCTGACCTGTGGTGTCCCTCCACTCTGCAGGGTGCCGCGGTGATGATGGAGAACAGGCCCATGAGCCTGAAGCTGATCATGACCCTGGCCTTCAGCACCCTCGGCCAGCGCGCCTTCATGAACCGCACCGTCGGGGAGATCATGTGGGGCTACGACGACCCCCTCGTGAACCTCATCAATAAGTACTTCCCAGGCATGTTCCCCTTCAAGGGCAAGTTCGGGTTATTTGCTGAGGTAAGTGTGGCCTGGCGAGAAGCCACACATTCAGGGCCTGTGTCTCATCCTTCACGGACACAGCCCAGAAACCAGATGCCAGCTCCTGGGGAGCTGGCTGGGCACCCCGGGGCTGTGGGTTGTAAGTGGCAGAGAACTTCACTCAAAGTGGCTTAAGCAAAATAGGGAATTTGGGAGCTCATAGAACTGAAAACACTAGGGTTGGATTCAGGTGCAGCTTGATCCAGGATCCAATGATATGTTTGGGGCTTAGCTTAGAAAATTGGAGGCTTTGCTGCAAGAAGGGGAATGGCCGCTGGGGGCATATGACAAACATGGACTATGGCATTGCCCTGAGCGCCTACTTTTTCTTAATCTTCACCACTGGTAGGGTCCTGAGTTAAGATCTTGTCCATGTAGGGTCTGATCCCCGACCTCTTGTCCCTGACCTTGGCTCGATGCAGGTTTCAGTGAGCCCTCTGGGTTGCTCTAGCCTCACCCTTCTCTTTGGACTCTGTTGACCTGGCGTAGTGGGAAATCACTGGCGGTGGTGGGGAATCGTGATTCTATACCTGCACGCGATAGACACTTAATACGTTTTTGTCCAGGATGACAGGTTCTGGTTGTGTGCGTAAATTGGCAGGTTTGGGGTAAATGACATGATTCTGCAAAATCATCTTGTAAATGTTGAAGTGCTTTGCAAATTAAAGTTCTCACAGAGTCATTAGCATGGTTGTAATCTATGTTTGACCACATATAACGAAAACCACAAAGTAACAGTCTAGCAGTAGGCTGTTCATGGTTGGTGTGGTGGCTTCATGGTCTTAACTGATCTATTACTAGGAGCCTTCTGCTCTTCTGCTCTGCCCTCCTTAGGGTGTGGTTTCCATACCCAAGATAACCTCATAGCCCAGTACGGCTGCTAGAGCGTCTGCTATCACGTTCACTTTCCAGATAGCACAGCAGGAAGGAAGAAGTAGTGGGGGACTGGGGGGCAAGTGGAGGAGTTGAAGATAAAACAGCACGTCCCAGCTGCCTCCCTCTCAGGAAGGGAGAAAACCAATTTCCACGTACTTTGCATTGGCCAGAACTGAGTCACACAGCTGCCCCTGGCTGCAGGAAAAACTGGGAATGTAGCCTTTTAGGAGGGCGTGCTCATGCCCCGAGAAAGCTTTGGGGTAAGTTCTGGAAGAGAAAGGAGAGAGTGGACTTTGGGCAGTAACTATCAATAGCAGAGTCTGCTATACTTTGGCTATTGTAATTATGATTTGAGGATCCTACTGGGTGAGCATTTATTAATAATATCAATAATAGTCCAGGCGTGCTAGCTCACGCCACCTAGCACTTTGGGAGGCCGAAGTGGGAGGATTGCTTGAGCCCAGAAGTTCGAGCCCAACCTGAGCAAAAGCGAGACCCTGTCTCTACAAAAAATAGAAAACTTAGCCGGGCGTGGTGGCTGTGCCTGTAGTCCCAGCTACTCGGGAGGCCGAGGCAGGAGGATCTTTTGAGCCCAGGAGTTTGAGGTTGCTGTGAGCTAGGCTGATGCCACTACACTCCAGCCTGGGCGACAGAGTGAGACCTTATCTCAAAAAAAAAAAAAATCAATACTAGTCCGGGTGCAATAGCTCATATCTATCATCCTAGTGCTTTGGGAGGCTGAGATGGGAGGATCCCACGAGCCCAGGAGTTCAGGGCTGCAGTGAGCTGTGATGGTGCCACTGCACCCCAGCCTGGGCGACAGAGTGAGCCTGTCTCTTAAAACAACAACGATGATAATAATATAGACTGGTATTTTGAGCTTTTGCTGTGTCCAGGGTGTTGAGCTCAGCCCTTTCATGCATTAGCTCCTTTAACATCCCGGTGCCCCTTTGCGGGGCTCCTGTCACCCTCGCCTCGTGCTGGCCGAAGTGTGGGCTCAGAGGCCTGACGGAAACGCACAGCCGTGAGGAGGCCAGGCCGGGGCTCTGAGCGGGGCCGACTCCGGGGCCTGTTTGCTTAGCGAGCCGGGCATGGACGCAGCCGTCGGGCCAGCCAGCCGTGGTAGCGCTCCTCAGTGCGCCTCTGGGTCCTACCCCACAGCGGCTCCTGTCCTCGTACGCTTTCACACTTGTCCTGGCCTCGAGACCTGCTTCTAGGAAATGCCCTTGGCGTGCCAAGGCCCAGCCCTACTGTCCGGAAACGCTCCACAACCCTTGGGTCCCAGATAGGCTAGGACGGGCCGGGCGATGCGGCTGTGACGAGCAGCCCCCGAATCTCAGAACAGTGACGATTTCTTTCTTTCTTGCCCCCCATGTCCAGTGTGAGTGACCGGGGGCCCTCACTTGTCGTGGCCAGGCAGGGACCCGGGCCCAGGGAGGCTCTGTCTTGGCACACTGCCATGGCCCGTCGGCGCCGGCAGGGAGCCTGGGGAAGGCATGTGCGCTGTCCTGAAACGTCCACCCCAAGTGACGTGCCACTTCTTCTCTTCCGTTGATCAAACCCCTCACCCGGCCATGCTTCGACTTGGGGCAGGGCGGGGCGGGGCGGGGGGTGATCCTGCCATTCACCCAGGAGGGAAGCCAGACCCGTGGAGTCAGGAAGGAGGTGGGAGGCCGCGGCCCACAGTATCCAGGGGCTGTCTGTCCTGGAGAGCCCCCAGCCCTCCTCCTCTCGATCCCCAGATGGCGGGGGTGTGGGACGGCCTGGTCCTCCTGGGAGGGGGAGGGGGCGCAGTCCGGAGCTGAACGGGTGGCCTGGTGGCCCGCCTGGGTCCCTCAGCCCGTCCTGAGGCTTATTGAGGACGCCGCTCCCTGCCGTGTCCGCAGGTCAACAACTCCAACTCCGGGCTCTTCACCGTGTTCACGGGGGTCAAAGACTTCAGCAGGATCCACCTCGTGGACAAGTGGAACGGACTCAGCAAGGTGGGGGCGAGAGGCAGGCCCCTGCCGCCGGGGGACGGGAGCGCGGGAGGGTGGGCGGCATCTGTCGTGACGAGGGGGTGGGGAGGGCCTCTTGGAGTTGGGGTGCCACCTGTGGTTAAGGCCCCGCCAGCTGGAGGGCCGGGCCGGGATTGGCGACTCCTTTGTGAGCGCCTGGTGTCTGCCAGGAACCGAGCTCTTCAATTCCTTTGATTCTTCTTTTGCGCAAAAATGTTTTCAAAATGCTGCTCTAGAAACACAGGAAGACACGCACATTAAAAAGCAAAACAATAGAGAGATACACAAAGGGCCCCTCTGCCACCTCCGCCGCCCCACCCTCGCCCCCAGCCGTCTGGGAAACCCGCGGTTACGAGTTCCGGGACGTATTCTTCCTGTGTGTTGTTATCCGTCTGCGTACCTGTGCGTACACGGACAGCTCTGGGGTTTTTTCCTTCTTCGGACATAATGAAATCATATTACGTGCATTGTTTTGCAACTTGCTTTTTCCACCTTGGTGGCCTTTTCCCAACATTTGTGAAAGCGATTGCATAATGGCGTGCCTTTCCCCTCCTAAATCTCACCGTGGTCATCGCTGCAGAGACGCCGAGGGCTGGGCGCCTGCAGCCCACGAGAAGTACTAAGCGTTCTTAGCGGACGCTGTTCACATTCTCTGTGGCTTGTATGTTTCCATACAACATACATGTGCACAGGATTTACAAAATTCTAACCATGCAGAGGGTCCGAGAGTGGAGGTCTCACTCCACAGAAGCAACTATTCTGATCGGTTCTGTTTCGAGCTCTCCCAGGGCGGCCGCCATTATGATTTTAAGTCATTTACCTGTGTGCCACTTCCTGACTTCACCTGTTTTTAGGAGCTGTCCTTTTTTTTGAGACAGGGTCTCACTCTGTCACCCAGACTGGAGTGCAGTGGTGTCATCACAGCTCACAGCAACCTCAGACTCCTGGGCTCAAGCAACCCTCCTGCCTCAGCCTCCCGAGTAGCTGGGACTGCAGGTCGCACCACCACACCCAGCTAATTTTTCTACTTTTTATAGAGACGGGTCCTGCCCTTGCTCAGGCTGAGGACATGTCTCTTGACTTCCACTCCGAGGAGTGAGGATGGCAGACACCCCACCTCCCTCTCTCCTGGTCACTGTGCTTCTTCTTGATGCAGCCTGGAGATGCGAGGCATAGGCCCATTTTACAGACGAAGGAACTGAGTCCCTAGCAGTGTCTACACTAGGGCGAGTTAGGTGCGCGGCGCCCGAGAGCGCTCGTGAAGGGGCCTGGGCCGTCCTGGGTGATCGGGTCTGACTGCCTCCCCCAGGTCAACTACTGGCATTCGGACCAGTGCAACATGATCAACGGAACCTCCGGGCAGATGTGGGCGCCATTCATGACTCCCGAGTCCTCGCTGGAGTTCTACAGCCCCGACGCCTGCCGGTAATGGGGACATTCTGGGCCTCCAGGGGAAGGCTGCTTCCCGATGGCTCGTGGCTGAATCAAGTGGCTTTTGGTGCACACTTGGGGAACGTTTTGACTCGCTGTGTCTTTAACTCCTTCACCCCTGGCGCTGTCTGGAATTCTCTTTGGCTGCACCTCGAGGAGCCAGACTGGGACCCCGAGGCTGTGCAAGCCCAGAGGGCGGCTGCTGGCCGGGGTCCGGCCCGGGTGCTGGTTAGGGCGGAGGGGAGCAGGACATGGTTGAGGTCGCGGGGGGCTGTGACACGCAGGCAAGAGGTGGGTTCCCTCTGGCAGAAAGATGATCTGAAAAAGAAGAAAAGCCCCCAAGTTACCGCTTGGGTGCTGAGAGGTCAGCTGACTGCTTGGCCCCTCGGGGCTCAGCGTTGTAGCCTCGGGGTCCTGCTTGGGGCCAGACACGTCCCGTGGCCCTGGCTGGGGTCAGGAGTAGACACTGGCTCCTGGAGCCCTTCTGTGGCCATTGCCGTGTCCTCTGCTCTACTCTGGTCACTCTGGAAAAGTCATTAGCATGAACCCTGACTTCGCTGCCTGTGCGTCGGCTGGAGGCAGTGTGCCCTTTATGCCTGAGTACTTCCGTGGGTGTTTCCTCAAAACAAGGACGTTTTCTTACAGAACCACAATACTGTTTTCAAACCAGGAAATTTGACATTGACATAATACCATTGTCTAAGCTGGCACTTTCCAATAAAAATATTAATGCAAGTCACATATGCGACTTTAAATTTGCCAGTAGCCACGTGATATAAAAGGAACCGGATATTGGTGAAATTATTTTTACTTTTTTACTGTTTTTTTTTTTCCTCTTTTTTTTTTCCGAGACAGAGTCTCACTGTGTTGCCCGGGCTAGAGTGAGTGCCGTGGCGTCAGCCTAGCTCACAGCAACCTCAAACTCCTGGGCTCAAGTGATCCTCCTGCCTTAGCCTCCCGAGTAGCTGGGACTACAGGCACACACCACCATGCCCGGCTAATTTTTTCTATATATTTTTAGTTGTCCAATTAATTTCTTTCTATTTTTAGTAGAGACGGGGTCTTGCTCTTGCTCAGGCTGGTCTCGAACTCCGGACCTCGAGCGATCCACCCGCCTTCCAGAGTGCTAGGATTACAGGCGTGAGCCAACGCGCCCGGCCAAAATTATTTTTAATACTATATTTTATTTGACCCAGTATTTCTAAAATATCGTCATTTTGAATAATATCGAAGAGATTTTTAAAAATTTGGGTAGCAAATCTTAGCAATCTGGAATGTGCGTCACACTTACGGCCCACCCTGATTTGGGTTTTCCCATTTCAAGGGTGGGGCAGCCGCAGGTGATGAGTGGCTGCCGGGGACAGAATGGGTGGCGCAGTGGAGAAGTGCCTTCGAGAAAGCACAGCAGGATGAACGGACAGAAGGTGAAGAGGGTGGGCTTGGGGGACGGTGCTACCACTGAGGAGGTGACAGCTGAGCTAAGATCTGATCGAAGAACTAAAATCTGGTGGGTGGAGATTGAGGGAAGGACATTCCCAGCAGAGGGAGCAGCAGATGCAAAGGCCCTGGGGCAGGAAGGAGCTGTGGGAGTGGTAAGGATGGGCAGGGCCAGCAGAGGGCAGGCAGGGGCTAGACCCCATAGAAGCTCGTGTGCCGTGGTAAGGACGACGGATCCTAACTGCGGGTTAGACAGAAAAGAACTGTCGGGTTTCAGCAGGGGCAGGATGTTTCCTGTTCTTGTTTTAAAGCTTCCTCTGACCATGGGGAATAAACTGGCATTGTGTGGGGAGGCAGCCTTGGGGCAGGGAGGCCAGTGAGGAGGCCGCTGCTGTCCCCGAGACCCAGGAGGTGGCAGCGTGGGTGGGGGGACGTGGCTGGACTGGGGCAGCCTTCAGCAGGGCCTGGCCGCAGCCACGTGGGCCAGGTGTCCTCCCTCACCTCACCTGTCCCCGCAGGTCCATGAAGCTCATCTACAAGGAGCCGGGGGTGTTTCAGGGCATCCCCACCTACCGCTTCGTGGCCCCCAAAACCCTGTTTGCCAACGGGTCTGACTACCCGCCCAACGAAGGCTTCTGCCCGTGCATGGAGTCCGGCATCCAGAACGTGAGCACCTGCAGGTTCAGTACGTGTCGCCCCCCGGGGACGGGGGCGAGGGGGCGGCGAGGGGCTCGTCTGCCCCACATACGCGACCTCTGGCCTCCGCACTCTTGGTCATACCGCCGGGTCGGAGATGGCGCGGGCGGCAGGAGTACGACGCGGCAAAGAGGCGATGCCGCGTGTGTCAGAACGACGCAGGTCTATCACCTGGCAGTCCCGAAGCTCAGGCTGCGTGGGTCCCCCGGGCTGAGACCAGGGAAGCTGCGTCCCCTCCGGGGCTCTCGGGCAGAGTCGGGGTCTCTGCCTTTTCCTGTGCTCCCCGCTCCTGGGCCCTTCCTCCACCTCCAAGGCGGGCAGCGCGGCGCCCCTCCCCCCACCCTCCGTCTGCCCCCTTCCTGTTTTGCGGGCCCCCCCCCGCCCCGATAACCCTGAACGACCCATCTTAAAGGCGGCTGAAGAGCCACCTTTACTCCCTTCGTCCTGTTACCTAACTTAGCTGGAGGCTCGGGGGATTAGGTGTGGACATCTTTGGCCAGGGTGTTCGTCTGTCGTCCCACACTGAGATTTTCAACTCGCCAGTGAGGCTTGGTGGGAAGGGCCCTGGCCCCTTACTGGGTGTGTAGAGGTTGGCGACGCCGCGTGTTAGGTGCAGCCCTCTCGTTCAGCGGGGCGGGCTGCAGGCCGTGATTATTGCTGCTGGTGTAACGTCCTGGGGCATCTTTGGTGCCAGTCCCCGAAACACCCCTGCCTCAGTTGCTCAATTTGGACCCTCAGGTGTCCTCCCCCACTGCACCCTGCCCCGTCCAGCACATAGCAAGCCCAGGTGGCTTGAGCCCCTTCCTCTCTCCTGCCCTCCCCGTGCCCTGCCTAGTGGCCCAGGTCATTGAAGGGTCTCACTTGGTGTCCAGGCCCCTCTGGTTGTTCCCTGTCCTATGAACCGTTCCCCAAACTGTGCAGTGTGGCCACCACTGGCCTTGTGTGGCTGCTTCAACTGAAATTGGTTTCAACAAAATCAAATTAACAAGGCAGTTTCTTTGTCACATTGGCCACATTTCAAATGCTCAACAGCTGCGTGTGTCTAGTGGCTGCTGTCTTCGACGGCAGATAGAGAGCGTTCGCATCACCCTAGGACGTTCTGCGGGGAGCACTGCTCCCAACGGCAGCCCGGGGAGGGGGCTGTGTCTTTCGACAATGCAGATTGTCACCCACTCTTTGCTTAAGATGTCCAGCAGCTCCCTCTGCGTTTATAGAGGAGTCCAAACTCCTCACCGTGGCCGGGGCCCTGCAGGGTCTGGTCCCAGCTGGCCTCCCTGACGTCATTTCTTCCCACACCGCTCCCACTCATTATTCTTCAGCTCTGTTGCCTTCTCCCTGCTTCTAGAATATATCAAGTTCAGTCCCACCCCAGGGCCTTTGCACAGGCCGTTCCCCCTCTTGGAGAGCTCCTTCTCTGGATTTCCACGTGGGTCATTCTCTCACCGTCTTTTGGTCTGACCCTCTGTCTGACTGTGTCTTGCCTTTTGGGGTCTCTGGTCGAAGCCGTGTCTTGCAGCTGGAGATGGTGATCCTGGGGGATTGGCCTGGGGCTGAGAGGAAGGACTGCCAACGGGTTGGATGGTTTCCCCAATTTCAGGCAGAACAGGGCACGTAGTGGGCAAAGGTTTGGGATTGGGGCCTGGAATGCCCAGCTCCGTCTCCTTGCTGTGGCCAGCCAGGCATCGTCCCCTATTCGCGTCATTCCTTCTGCACCGGTATGTATGGGAATTTCTGCTTGTGAGGAGGAGGATGCTGGATCACGTGATACGAAGTGTGTTAAAACAAATGTGTGGCAAGTGGCAGATGCTAGACTCCACTTGATTTGGGCCAAAAGGGCACTTCTTGGTTTGTTTAATCAAAGATTCTAGGGCAGATCCCCGTGTCAGGCACGGACCCAGAGCTTGGATGGTGTCCGGAAGCTGCCTTTCTCCAAGCCTTGGCTCAGTGTTCCGCCAGGCTGGCTTTGCCGCCAGGCAGGCTCTCCCGCGTGGAGGCTCCGGGCTCACCTCCTCCCGGCTCTGAGCCCTGCGGAAAGGGGCCACCTGGATCCTCTTCACTCCAGCAAGAGTCCCAGGGTTCTCTCTAATGGGTCTGCTCGGCATCCCATGCCCAGCTGTGGGCCAATCACTGTAGCCAAGGGCGGCCTATGCTGATTGGCCAGACTTGTGTCACATGCTCAGCCGGGCTCCATGGGTGGGACTGGCCCCACTCAAAACACATGGCTGGGAATATGTGCTGATCCATGTGGGATTCCAGTGTAGACTAAATTGGGGTGTAAGTAGCAAAAGATGAGGAAGAAACAATACTCCCGTCGCCTCCAAAGGGCTTGGGACGAGGTGTGCACTGCCTCCTCTTAGCACATCTGCCAAGAGAATTTCAAAAGTACAAGGGAATTTAAAAATATTCATTTAAACAAAGTGTTTTCTTTTAAATAGAAATATACATATATACAGGGAAGTGTCCAAATCACACACACAGTTCGAAACTCCACCAAGTGAACACGCCCACGTAGCCAGCACCCAGATCAGAAAGCAGAACGGACACTGTCCTCGCCCCACCCCTCACCGTCCCGACTTCCGCACCGGAGCTGGCCTGTTTGGGGTCTTCGTGTGAATGGAATGATAAAGTGTGGACTCCTTCCTTCTCCTTTTCTGGCCTCTTCCACCTTCACCTCGTGCTGCAGTCTGTCCCTGACGTCCTGGCTGGTTGTCATTCATCCTCTTCATTGCCGCGTAGCACTCCGTCGTGGGAGCCGCCCCTGCCATTGTCCACGGGCATCTGAGTTCCTGGTTTTTGATCTTTATCGCGGCGTTTGCACGTGTCGTTTGGCGTACCTTGTCTGCATCTCTGTGGCTCGTTATGTGAAAGAAAGGTGCCCACGCATTTGCCTTTCCGGGCCTTGAAAATTTCTTGAACTCAGACAACTCCCTCGCATCAAACCTCCCTGCTGTGAGAACCTCCGACTTGCCCAATCGAGCCGGTCAATTATCATCCTGGCAATCCCGGGCAATTATGCCTGGTTAGATGTGCCATAAAGCAATAAATTAATTACCGCTTATTGCCCGGGCACGTCTCGCTCAGCCTGTTTGGAAATAAAATCGGAAGAAACACGTGCCCGGGTGCAAGCAGGCTCACCGTCCCAGCACGGGCAGGCGCTGGCAGGGAGCTCCACCTCCTGTGCATGTCCGCCTGGGCTTGGAGGCAGGACGGGGCTCGTCTGAGATTCCTCAAGGGCCTGGCTTGGTGGCCACCTCCTTTACCGAGGGTCCCCAGAGTGTCGCCGCTGTGAAGATGGGGTGCCGGCGTTTGCTCTGTGGGTTTGCTTTCTCGGTTGAGGCTGGAGAATGGGAGACAGGGTTTTCCAAATTATGGGGGGCATTGTCCCTGTGGGTGCTCGATGACGTCAGAGGAAGTAAGAAAGAGCCCCTGTCTCCCATTCCTTTCCGTCCTTCCCGTTACTTCCAGGAAGAAGTCTCTGCTGGTGCTGACAGGCCTGGAAGACCTTTCTATCCTCGTCCGTCTGTCTGGGTTTTTGTTTGTTTGTTTGTTTTTAAGAGAGAAAGAGCAGGTCAAAGCCTTCCGCAGGTAACAGCATCTAATTAGAGCTGACGACGTTCACTGGTTTCCATTGCATTGATCCTAACATTTACTTTCTAAACATTTGCGGCAAGTGTTTGCCAGTGACGGTGCGGGTGTAAAGGTCTCTTTTAAAATACAGATGTTTCGGGACGGCAACGGCAGTCGGGTCAGAGAAGCACCCTGGGCACTAGTGCGGGGGTGGGTATCCGCTGCGGCCGAGTTGGAGAGGGCTGCCGCGCATGGCGTCCGAGAGTCGTTCAGGGAAGACGTGTTCAAGGACGTCTTGAACGAGAGAAAGTGAAGCCTGACAGCAATGAAATCCAGCTTTTATTTCAAGCCGGTGCCTGGCTTTGCTCAGAAAAGCAGAAATGCTCTAGAAACGCGAGGTGGTGAGGTGTGCACGAGCGTGAACACCGCCCTGGCCGGCAGGGAGGGAGGGGCTGGTGGTTTGAGGGAAGGACGGATTTGTATATTTGACTTGTATATTTGATTCGTTTTTCTTTTTTTTATCAAGGTGAAATCCACATAACAAAATTAACCATTTTTTTTTTTTTTGAGACAGAGTCTCACTGTGTTGCCCTGGCTAGAGTGCTGTGGCATCAGCCTGGCTCACAGCAACCTCACACTCCTGGGCTCAAGCGATCCTCCTGCCTCAGCCTCCCGAGTAGCTGGGACCACAGGCATGCGCCACCATGCCCGGCTAATTTTTTCTATATATTTTTAGTTGTCCAGATCATTTCTTTTTATTTTTAGTAGAGACAGGGTCTCACTCTTGCTCAGGCTGGTCTCAAACTCCTGAGCTCAAACAATCCGCCCACCTCGGCCTCCCAGAGAGCTAGGATTACAGGTGTGAGCCACTGTGCCTGGCCTAAAATTAACCATTTTAAAGTGGACAGTTCCGTGGCATTTAGCAGTCACATTGTGGTACAACCGTCACCTCTCTCTAGTGCCAGAACATTCCCGTCATCCCAAAGGAGACCCCTGGCCGATAAGCAATCACTCCCCACTGCCGTCCCCCAGCCCAGCTCCGCAGCCCGCGCCGTCCGGGGCTTTGCCGGCGCTGGTCTCTGCGAGGTTCCGAGAGAGCCTCGCTGTGACTTGTGACCTGTCAACCGCTGTCCGGAGGATGAGTCGGGCTTTGCCCCGTTCGGTCAGTCGACGGCGAGGTTTGGCGTCACGTGTCTGTGTGCGAATTTCTCACTCGGGGGCGAGTCTGTCCCCACTGACACACGCCGGCGTCCGGCCGCGGGCCAGCCGCGGGCGAGGAGCGGAGCAGGTGTGTCTCCTCCCTCCTGTGGACACGGCGACCTGGCCACAGGTATGCTCGCCTGAGCTCTCTGATGGTCGCTGCACTGCCCGCAGAGGACAGTCTGGGCTGCTTGGCTTGGCGCTGGAGACGTCCTCCCCACACCTGAGTTCAAACCCGGCCTCGCCTTACCTTTCTATGCTCACCTCCACGATGCCCCTGCGTGCACCATGCACTTCCCCGCTCCCGGCGCTGCTCCGCCGTCCCCTCGCGCGCGCCTGTTAGAGACCCTCTCCTCTTCCTTCCTTTGGTCCCGGTACCCGGGGCCTCTTCACACCGTGAAGGATGGGACCCTCCCTGCCTGGTCATTGGCGTCCGCGTCTTGTCATCGTCACAGGGCCCTGCGAACCGCAGCTCTGTCTCATCGGCTGCGTGTCCCTCGCGACCCGCTCAGGCCTGGCCCGAAGCAGGCCTCTGGATGTGCTGACCCACTCCCCTCGTCTGACGCCCCTTCTCTGCCCCCTGCCTTCCAGGTGCCCCCTTGTTTCTCTCCCATCCTCACTTCTACAACGCCGACCCGGTCCTGGCGGAAGCGGTGACGGGCCTGCACCCCAACCAAGAGGAGCATTCCTTGTTCCTGGACGTCCACCCGGTGAGCCCTGCTGTCTGCCTGCGGGGGTGGGCGGCTGGTGCACACGCGGCCCCCTCCTCTCCCCTCACGGCACGGCACTGCGCCAGGGTGGGGTGATGGGAAGTCTGGCTTGCCTCGGCACTGGTAGCTTCTAGAAGATCAAGCCATCAAAGGTCTTTACCCTGACTCCATAGTTCAAGGGTTTTATTATCCCTTTGTAAGGGGCTTGGTGCTATAAAAGGGCCATAAGGCAGCAAATTAATTAGCAATCATCAGCTGATGTGTGTCCTGCAGATCAGCCGGAGGCAGCCCGCTGGCTGTGTCAGGATGCCATAAAGATCTTTAGATACCGACAGAGCCTGGAACATCTTGCTGATAAATCAGATTGTGGGGAACTTGTCCCCGTGAAGCTCTGTCTGCAAGCAGGGACCGGGAGGGCATCAGAGCCGTACATGTGGCCCGCCTCGGGGACAAGCCCGCAGCCCGTGGCCTCTCCCTGCACATCTGCTCTCTGTACGATGTGCCCAGTTAGGCTCAGTGGCTTCCACCACTCCCACAGAAATTCCGTGGGTCTCTGTTTCCTGCGCGGACACTCAGGTTTTCTCCTATACGTAGGCCTTTTTTAAAAAATTAATTTTTTAAGTTGAAAAATAAACATTGCATATATTGGTGGTTTACAACACGGTAGCATCACGCATATGTACATTGTGGCACGGCTAACGAGCTCATTGATGTGTCCGTCACCTCACTTGGTTACTTTTTTCCTGTAGTGGCAAAAATACTTAAGACCTGCTCTCTCAGTACATTTCAAATGTTCTAAGTGACACTGTCACTAGCCGTCCTTACGGGGCCGTCGCTGGGTCTCCCGCATGGAACGTTGCTCGGGCGCAGCCGGAAATTTGACCGACGTCTCCCCGACCCCCGCTCCCCACCTCCTCTGGCGGCCGCCAGTCCGCTCGCCGCCCCTGTGGGCTCAACCTTTTTAGATTGCGCGCTTGAGTGAGATCGCCCAGTGCGTGTCTTTCTCCGTCTGCCTCATTTCGCGTCACGTAGCGTCCTGCGTGGTCACCCATTTTGTCACAGACGATAGCATTAAGGCTGAGTGACATTCCCGTGTGTGCGCGCACCGCATCCTCCTCACCCTCTCGTCCACCGATGGACGCCGCGACAATCGCGGGAGAGCAGGTGCCTCCTCAGCTTGCTGATTTCGTCCCCTCTGGATCTACGCCGGCCGTGGGGTTGCTGGCCGTGCGGCGGCGCTGGCTGCAGGCCTTTCCCGTGCACGGCCGCTCCACGCCGTTTTCCTCTGCGCTCCTCAGACCTTGTCAGCCGCTGACCCGACACCAGGCCCCGCCCTGGCCCTGCCGTTCTCCCTTCTCTGAGTTAATTCATTTTACTGCCTCTTGCGGAGCTGGCTTCTGGAGAATTCCCCCGGGGAACATAGTCTATTCTGTGCTCCCACAGGTAGCTTTCATCTCTGTGCGTGGATTCCTCTTTTCCTCCACGTCGAGAAGGGAGCCAGGTTCGGGAGGCCAAAGCGAGGCAGACAGCTGTTCTGCAGCAGCCGCCTCAGCCGGTGGCTCCTGCCCTCTGCTTTCAGATCAGCTCAGCTGGAGGCAGAAGTGGCCTTTACGTTTGGGTTTTGATTTGAGCTCGTTGGGAGGAGGACCGGGAATCGGTCTGCTGCCTGGTGGACATTAGGCTTGAAAACCGGATGGAAGCTGCTTCTGTGCGGCTCCCGTTTTGCTCCCGGACCGCGCGGAGAGGCGGCGACAGGGGTGGGCTCCTGGGTCCAAGTTTCCGTTCTCGGTGGTGCATGGAACGGGGCTGGGGGGCTTTGCGGCCTGACAGTAGCGGGGGGCGTGAGCCAGGGAGGGCATGGGACAGATTTCTGGGGGAAGGAAGTGGAGTCCCAGAATGCGGAGTGTGTTCCGGGGCGGGGAAGAGGATGGCAGGTTGCGTCGGGGCCCCCAGGACCACCCCCAGGCCCGATGATTCTAGAGGAGGACTCAGAACTCAGCTGTGCGGGTGCTCACGGCTGACACTGTCACAGCGGGAGGGCGCACAGCAAAACCAGCACAGGGGCTCCAGCTCCAGGCTCCAGCTTCCAGCGTCCTCTCCCGGCGGGGTCACGCAAGATGCACCTGGTCCCCCCGGCAGTGAGGTGTGGCAACATGCACCAAGTGTTGTCTCTCAGGAAAGGCCACTAGAAATTCCGTGGCCAGGGTTTTTATTCAGGGCCGATCACGTGGGCATCTCTGCCTGGCATGTGCCAACATTCCAGACTCCAAGAAGGAAAGCAGATGTCCGCATAGACGATACTGCTTGCACAAACAGTCTAGGCGATGGTGGGAACCCTCCTGGCATCGGAGTTCCCAGACCCCAGCCAAGGGCCAGTCTTGCCGGCAGCCATCTAAGGCGGGCAGCCCGGGGCCTGCCGCCTGTGCTCTTTTCTAGGCGTGGTGATCTCACTCCCACGCCGCCAGGTTCTCAAGCTCAAACTCACCGCAGTCCTAAGCATAAGGGCTTTGACAAGCTCCTGTTTGTTGTAGGGCGTGGGAAGGGCCGCAGAGTACTGGGCTGCAGTGGAAGATAATGCCCTTTCCTGATAGTGTGTGTGATAACAGCATAAGCATTTATGGCCTATGGCCGGAGCGTGGCCATCTTGCAGACTTTATTTTATCCTTGCAAAAATGCCCTGAGGTGGGTAGAGTTATCTCTATTTTGCAGGTGGGGAAACCACTCTCAGCTAAGAAGAACCGGTTGTGTTCCTCTGACCTCACATCTAGGTTTCTTTCCACTACGGTTTCCTGACTTCATTCCGGAACCACCTTCCTGGCTGTGGTGACGCGCGTGTGTCACTTCCGTTCTTTACTTTTTAAAAAAATCATCTTGTTAAAAAAAAAAAATTTTTGCACAAAGGAAGCTTTCTGTTACTACCTCAAGTAGGAAATTGTAAAAATTCTCCAAAGAAAGAAGAAAACCATAAACACGAACAAGGAAAACGCATTATCAGGCTCCACGAAGAAGACTGGGGCCTGCCGGGGCGGAGCTGGAGGCCGGCCCTCGGCGCTGTCGCTAGAAAGTGGCGATTCTGAGGTATACGGAAGAGGCACTACAGACCCCGCGAGCTGCTGGCGGGACTTTCTCTTCGAAATGATCCGGAAAAGTTGGGAGTGAATTGAGAAGAGATATTGTCTGATGTGGAGGTTGGAAGGAGGCATCTGAAAAATGGCGTTCTATATTTGGGAAACATTGTCTTAAGAGGACAGAGGAAAGGGATTATCTTTTTTTCCGCATTCTGAGAGGGGCTTGCTTTCTAGAGGCCCCCCCGTGGCTGTAAGGGCTGTTCGGGAAGCAGGTGCTTCCCCGTGAGGACGGGGGAGCAGCAGGGGTGGCCCCGGTGTGCGCACGGCGTTTCTAGAAGAGTGGACTCCCTCCCCCTGCTGCTGCTTGTGTAGGCCGGATCAAAGCAAGCTCCACTGGACGGTCAAGCTGCCCACCCTCTTGAGTGGGACCAGGGAGAGGAGGGTTGGAAGGTGTCCGGGGAGCTCGAGGGCAGCGGTGTCCTCACTGTGTCTGTCGCTGCAGGTCACTGGGATCCCCATGAACTGCTCCGTGAAGCTGCAGCTGAGCCTCTACATCAAGGCTGTCAAAGGCATCGGGTGAGTGGGGGCTGGGGCGGGGGCGGGGTTGCTCAGGTGAGGTCAGGGGCTTGGGACTCCAGTGGTCCCAGACTCTGGCGACTGGACCCCAGGAGCCAGGGCCCGGGGAAGGGAGATGGTCCCTCTCAGTCTTCCCCCAGGGAGAGCCTCCGCTTCCGGCCAAGGCCTGACTCGCGTGCTCACACCCCTTGCCCCAACCTTAACGTTCTCCTCCAGCATGGGCCAGAAGCTTCAGTCCAGGCTGTTTCCCGCTCAGCAGAGCAGCACAGCAGAAACCCTGGCAAGACCCAGTGCTTGAAATCAGAAACTTACCAGACAGCATGCTTAGGTTTCACCACTGACGCTACACGAATTTTTTAAGCACAGATTTTCCTCTTCTTGATTTTTAAAATACAACTTTATGGAGAAATAATTCACGTATCATAAAACTCATCCCTTTAGAATGTATGATACAATTGGGCGATCTCTAGGCTGGTCACAGAGCTGTGCGTCTGTCACCATGATCAATCGTAGAAGGTGTTCGTCACCCGTTAGCGATCACCGCCCTTTGTCCTCAGCCCCCAGCCATCCACGCGTCTGCGTCCTATCTCTGCGAGCTCACCTGACTGGACGTTTCCTATACACAGGATCATGTGCTGTATGGTCTTCTGTGACTGGCTTCTCTCACTTACGCTAACGCTTTTGAGGTTCATCCAGGGCGTGGCACGGATGGATACATTTTATGGCTGGATAATAGTCCCTTGTAGAGATAGACTGCATTTTATTTATTGGTGGATGGATATCTGGGTTTGCACTTTTTGGCTTTTATGAATAATGCTGCCATGAACATTCATGTATGAGTTCCTGGAGGGACATGTGTTCTCATGTTTCTTGGGCATATTCCTAGGGGTGGAATTGCTGGGTCACAGGGTAACTCTGTGTCTAACCTTTGAGGAGCTACCAGACTTTTCCACGGACACTGCACCATTTTACATTCTCGCCAGCAGTGTGGGAGGGTTCCAGTCTCTCCACGTCCTCACCAGCACTCTGCGTGTTGATAGAGCTGGCTGAGGGAGTACACTGATTTGTCACTACGTCAGTGTCTGTACTTCTTAGCATACTTGAAATAATTTCTTTTTCTTTTTCTTTTTCTTTTTTTTTTTTTTGAGACAGAGTCTCACTCTGTTGCCTGGGCTGTTTTGCCGTGGCATCATCACAGCTCACAGCAACCTCAAACTCCTGGCTCAAGCGATCCTCCTGCCTCAGCCTCCTGAGTAACCACACCCGGCTAATTTCTATATTTTTTTTCTTTTTTGTAGAGATGGGGTCTCGCTCTTGCTCAGGTGCGTCTCAAACTCCTGACCTCAAGTGATCCTCCTGCCTCAGCCTCCCAGAGTGCTGGGATTATAGGCGTGAGCCACTTCGCTCAGCCCTAATTTCAATTTCACTTTTTAAAAAATTCTCTTAGCACCTGTAGTCCCAGCAAGCGAGACTTGTCTCAAAAAAAAAAAAAAATTCTCCTAGATTCCTGAGTAGCAGGAATGTGAGCGTCTATTCAGCTTGTCAAATGCCTCTCCGCTGGAAAGAACATCAGGTTGTCAGAGACCGGCAGGGAGTAACAGCTGTCAGCTCATCGCCTTCACTCCCACGCTCCTATTTTATTTTTGTATTTGAGGCTGCTGGGGGATCTGTTCCTGATGGCTGTGAGGGTGGGGAGATGGCACCAGGCAGGGCCAGGTGTTTGCCGCCCAAGCTCTCGCTCTGGGTTTGCCACGCGGCACCTGCGCTGCGACCTCAGATGCTACCAGGCCGGGCAGGTGACCCAGATGGAGGAGCCCAGCAGGCAGGTTGGGGCGGGGCGGAGGGTGCCGCTTGCCCAGCCCCAGCTGGCTGTGACCTCGTGAAAGTGCGGGCCCAGTGTGGCCACATCCTCTGCATTTTTCTACAAGGACCCCAAATCTGGATTTTAACAGAAGCCCTCTCAATTTTCACCTGTTGGGAGATAATTCACACTCTTGACCAGCAGTACACAGGGCAGCTGGATCCCGTGGGCCACTAACCCGACCTCACCGGCAGGCTGGTAGCAGAGGAGGGAGGGGAGCCGTGGCAACAGCAGATGTTCATTCCCCACCCCCGCCGGGGGCCAGGGAGGGTCTGGAGGCAGCTACAGGGAAGCAGAGCTGTTTCTTGCTGATCCTGTTTTGCTGTGACACGTGGGAGGAACTTAGGGTTCTTTGCTCATTACATAAAGGCAATGGAGCGGCGTGAAGCCTGCGTGTAATTTACATCGGTTCTCACAACGTCTTTCAGAGAAAAGCAGCCAAAGTGACCGGCGCCTTCTGTTGTATTTCTGTGCTGTTTTCCACCGTTTTCGTCTGTAGGTGATATGTGCAAACCTATTTCACTGCCCAATACTCTACTTAATGGACGGCCCAAGATATATATATATTTTTTCTTTTTGGTAGAGACGGGGTCATGCTCTTGCTCAGGCTGGTCTCAAACTGCTGAGCTCAAGTGATCCTCTGGCCTCGGCCTCCCAGAGTGCTAGGATTGCAGGCGTGAACCACTGCGCCTGGTGGGCCCAAGAGAT